CGTGTTGCGGTGATGAGAGGCCAAGTTGTAACCGAACAAGGACTTGGAATAGTAGGCATCAGAGTCTCCGTTGACAGAGATTCACGATTTGGATTCACCTTGACCAGAGCTGATGGATGGTAAGAATTTTGATTATCTTTTTTTTATTTCAATTATATTAATCATAATGTCATTTAAGGGAATTATATAAATATATTAATTTCAAAAACACGATATAAACATTTTCTTACTTTGATGGAAATATCATGGTCGAAAGAAAAAAAATTAATTTGCAGCTCAAATTAGTCTATTTTGTATTTTTGTTACATTTTATTCTTTTATTTCTTTTTTATTTTTTATTTTTTTTTATTTTAAAGTATCTTTAACTCTCAGTTTATTACGAAAAACATGATATGAAAAAGCATGACTTTCTCTCTTTCTTTCTCTCTCTCTCTCTCTTTCCTTTTCTCTAAAAATTTTTTACCGGAAGCAGTCAAATCTGTTCACTAATTACGTGGCATACACCTCAAAGGTATGCGTAATATTAGCATTTACATATGACGGACGCAACATGTATGGCAGGGTTTTGAACGTCCTTCGTAATAGGATCAGCCTTGCATTGTAATGAAGGGAGGGAGACACGGAACACCTATATCAGACAGGTATATAGTAATCCTAGTGAGGATAATCCTGAAATACAGAGCTGGAGGAGTTGGGACGGTAGACCACATCAAAGCCTCTGCTAATGATGTCGAAAGCTTGCTAATTACTCCGTGCAAATCTATCTGATTAGCCCGACCTCCGCTCCCCACCACCCTCCGATTACTCTCTACATTTTCCTGTAATGTATCAAATTGTGGATAGGAAACATTACCAAACGGCGTCCAACAAACTCGTTGACATAATATCTTAATATTTTAACACAATATCAGAGTGGTAACAACTTTGCTTGGCACATGTTCTCTCTCTCTCTCTCTCTCTTCCTCTCTCTTTCTCTCTCACCTTACATTTCGTTTCGATAAACATCACGATTCAATCGCAAAATAATATTATTATTTGTCTGATATATCGTGTTTCTTGTATCAATAATCAAATCAAAATACAAACGAATAAATACAAACAAATAAATAAGGATTGTAAAAGTATTATACATTGGCGAGAAAACAAGAAGATCAATTAAAGTGGGGGAGATCATTTCGACCACATAATTCCATTCGCAGATTCAAATTTTAATAACTTTGTTAAATATTTATGAATGATTAACATCAATTCCATTGAGATCGATTGCCAAAGCATAATACGTATAGTCACTCGGATTGAAAAGGTATTTGCATATTTCGATCAGGTTCGACGTTTTGGTTAATGGTGGAGGAGCCGTGACATTGCAATTTCAACGTAGCCCATTCAAACCTCTTACGAGGACTGTGTTCGTGCCCTGGAATCAGATCGTTGTTTTACCACCCGTCGTGATGACTCTTAGCAAGGAAGGAGAGCCATACAAATCTAATCAACCACCTAGTCCAGCAGTCGGTAAATATCAAATATAATATATTGCAATAATGCAATTGGGTCTTTATTTTTATTTTGATCGTGCGGTATATTATTTTTTTATTATCTCTCGAATAACTTTAATTTTTTTTCGGGAAATTTAAAGTTACTAATGAAACTGTTACTTCATCGTCTTGTTTCTTCGATGTACACATGTGCCGTCTTTGTTCCGTCCTTAAGTGTTCTACGTTTTAGTTTCTTTTCATTTATGGCTTACAATATAATAGGCTTCCCAGGGATTTCCATGGGGCTCTTTAGCGAGCATGGACCATGTTTGGAACACGATCATGAGACTCTACGTCCAATCATCGTTAGCACATGGATGCCAGAAAAAGTGGGTGGTTTGCCAGGGAAAAGTCTGGTATTCGCTGAGAGTCAAGTAAGCCTTATTATATGGTATAATTAGTTTCCTCCAAGTTATATTGTCGTTAAGTAAAACCATTATTATTATGATTATTATCGTATTAGAAGGAAACGATATCGTACATTTTTTTATTAATGAACCCATTTTCAATTTTACGACAGATCGTACAAGAAAGTATTGCCATACCTGGATCTAATCTTCATTTGATGTATCAAAGTAGTCAAGCTGCTGGGTACCTTTCTACTGTTAGAATGCAATTGACTGGACCATTTATTCCAAAATCTTTAACGCACGTACACGTGCACGTTGAAATCGAGGGTTCACTTCATACAAAAACCTATGAAGCTGACCCCAATTTGACGCACACTTTCGCATGGAACAAGAGAAATGTCTACAAGCAAAAAGTATACGGAGTTGCACAAGCAAGAATTTCAATCGGTTATCAACATTCAACTTGTCCTTCCGTCATATGGGAAACGCAAACTGCGATTTTGCAAGGATTTGACGTAGACATTTCTGATATCGGTGGTTGGGGACTTGACATTCATCATCATTACAACTTTCACGAAGGAATCCTTCAAAAAGGAGATGGATCTACGTTACACTTCAAACAATATCCACGTACCGTAAAAGTAGTAATGGGTACTGGTCTTCAAAGAAGCTTGGTCTGCCAAAACTGTGATGGTTTGGCGAAAGATGCTAGACTCTTGACACCAGTAGCTCTTACCAGTGGTCCAGACGGTAGTATCTACGTAGGAGACTTTAATCTTGTGCGTAGAATTACACCCGAAGGAAACGTTTATACTGTTTTAATTTTAAGGTATATATAATTACGTTCAAATTTCTAACAAAAAATAATTCTAATCCATCCATTATACGAATAATGATTTTAACGATATTTCACAGTGCAACTCAAGTAGCCTATCAGTACTATTTATGTGTCTCCCCTGCCGACGGGCATTTATACATCAGTGATCCTGAAAAACATCAGATATTAAAAGCACTTTCATTAGAACAAGTTCAAGATCCTAGCATCAACATAGAACCGGTTGTCGGTAGCGGTGAAAGATGTATTCCGGGTGACGAGGGTCATTGTGGAGACGAGGGTTCAGCGATACGAGCAAAATTGGCTCACCCAAAAGGTAAACAATAATAATTACTGATTATTTAGAGCATAAATCAATATGACATTATTCGGAAATCATTGTATCATGTTTGTTATTTATGTTCTTCGCTATAAATCACTTCGATAGCTTCTCTTGTTATGTGACTATATTATCCTATTAGATTGTAATTGCTTATTAAACAGGTATCGCGATTGCTGCCGATAAAACTATGTATATAGCCGATGGCACAAACATACGTGCTGTCGATCCACATGGTATTATACACACATTGGTTGGGCATCATGGTCACCACAACCATTGGTCACCGGCACCATGTATTGGTGCTATACCTGCACATCAAGCTCAACTGCAATGGCCAACAGGATTGACTCTAAGTCCTCTCGATGGATCTCTACATTTTATCGACGATAGGCTTGTGCTGAAATTAACCAGTGATTTAAAAGTTCGCGTAGTAGCTGGTACACCTCTTCACTGTACTAGTAATGCAAACAACAATGGCAATGCTAACACCAGCGAACTCACCAAATTGAATTCGACTATACCAACGAATCTAAAGAAATCCGATGACGTTCTTGGTTCGGTTTTAGCTGTTGGTTTTAGTCCAACTGGTGAACTTTACATAGCTGACAGTGATTCTCACCGGGTTAATTCTATTAGAATAGTCGATTCTTCTGGAAAAATGTCTCACTTTGCTGGACAACAACAGGAACGATTACGTGGTCAATGCGAATGTAATAATACGACTCCTAGTACAAAAGATTTAGATGCATGTACTTGTACAGATGATACCAGTAGTACGGAAACACTTTTGTCATCGAATGCCAAATTCACTGCCATATCAGCCTTAGCAGTATCTCCTGATGGCGTTGTTCATGTCGCGGATCAAGGAAGTTTACATATTTTGGCTTTGCAACCATATCTTCCAAATCACGATGAAAGTGGCGAATTCCTCATTCCCTTTCCTCCATCTAACGAAGTTTACGTGTTCAATCGTTATGGTCAACATATATCTACAAAGGACCTAACATCTGGAAAAACTCGGTATTCGTTCCTATACAGTAAAAATACTAGTTTTGGCAAACTCTCCACTGTAACTGATAGTGCAGGAAACAAAATACAATTTTTACGAGATTACAGTAGCGTGGTTAGTACAATTGAAAATACTCAAGATCATAAATCCGAATTGAAAATTTCTGCCGTTGGTTTTCTTGAGAAATTATCTGAAAGAGGTAGAGCGGAGATTGCTCTTGGATATGATGGTTCCACTGGTCTACTGACAAGTCGTTCAGGGGTAATTATATATACATATATATACACATATTTTTTTTTTTTATTTTTTATTCCACAAAAAATACAACAATACATTTTCTTGTTCTAATTTAAGAATTCTAATTAAAACTTTTCTCTTTTCTCTTTTCTCTTTTCTCTTTAGGGAGATGAAACCTATATTTACAATTATGACGGTTTGGGAAGAGTCACTGATGTAATTTTACCGACAGGAGAAAAATTAAAATTATTTTCGGATCTTTCTAATGACGAAGGTCTTTCCGTACAAGTATCTGCTCCTCTTCAAGCATTGTCAAAAGGAGATAAACAAAGATTTGTAGAATTTGAAATGAAAAATGAGAGATCTAAAATGCTTACTATAACCGATGGTACGTGTGTTTTACAAATTATAAATCGTTAATAATTTAACTCTTATATAATTTTCTCTTAAATAATTTTCTTTTTTATATAATTACTATTTGTAAATGATTGTTACAGGTACGAAAATTATGAAAGCAACTGCATTCACGAATAGCAGTTTGGCAGTTTGTCTTCCTAGTGGTGGAAGAATATTAAGTGCAGCGACGACTAAACATCCTCTACTTGAAGCCGCTTTACCGGTGGAAGCAGAAATGTTACCAATGTGGAGCTATCAAGTGATGTCTCTCGGTGAATTAACAAATACAATGACCACCACTTATAATCTTGTCGGGGACGTAAGCCACTTTCAACAGACACTTAACAGAGAGATCTGGGTAAACGATACAAGAGTAATTGCTGTCGAATTCGAACAAGCATTCAGACGAGAAACTTTCTACGACAAAACGAGAACACCTCTATTAACTGTGACCTTCGATCCTGCTGGATTGCCATTACTTTGGCAACCTCACGAACAAGGACATAACCTTAGCATCACTTACGATAGATTTAATCGTATAGAAAGTTGGAAGTGGGGTGCATCGGACGAATCTTATGGTTACGATCGACACGGCCAACTAGCAGATGTCACCAATAGTCAAGATGGCACAAAACGATACACCTATAACGACTTCAACATGCTTTCCAAGATAACTCTCCCTAGCGACAGGCATTTCTCTTTGGAATACGACGATGACGGTGGCCTACGACATATTATTCTTCCATCAGGAACGAAACATTCCTTCTCTTGCCAAGCCTCTCTCGGTTTTCTTCGAGTAACATATACACCACCAGGAAGTACTAGAGCTTATCTTCAACACTATAGTCATGATGGTAATCTTTTACAAACTGTATTTCCTGGCGATGGTGCACGTATCGTCTATAGATATCATACATCTGGACAATTGGCTGAAGTCGTTCATGGTGATGGAAAAAGTGAAATAAGGTACACCGAAAGTGGTTTACCTTCTGAAGTCATACATTCCGAAAGAGACGTGGAATATAGATGGGATTATCAATATAGCGCTGGTCTTCTTGTCGAAGAACGTATAGATTTCGGAGCCAAAACCGGTCTCAGCAATGCCAAATTTACTTTCGATTATGATTCAAACTTTAGATTGATCGCTGTGCAAGGTAGAATAGGCGGTCAAACTTTACCACCTCATACCATGGCTTATAATCCAAGAACTGGCTTATTGGAACAGATAGGGCAATTTAAAATAACGAAACCGCAAATAAACGAGACTACAGTTTTCGATGGCACTGCACTTTTTTCACGGATTACCGACGACAGATTCCATGAAACTCAAGTGACAGTAACTATTCACAGTTTGGAAGTGTTCAGAATGGAATTCACGCATGATTCTCGTGGACGTATAAATCAAACCAGAACGTATACTCGTAATGTTGCTGTTAATACGTACACCAATGTGAAAAATTACACATGGGATTGCGATGGACAATTAACGGGTGTCGAAGCACAAGAACCATGGGGTTTCAAATATGATGGAAATGGTAATATGTTATCACTTAGATATCGTGGAAACACTATACCCATGGAATACAACACCATGGATAGAATCATTAAATTCGGCGAAGGTCTTTACAAGTACGACAATAGAGGTCTTGTTGTTCAAAATGCTAGAGAAGAGAGATTTAATTACAACGCTAAAGGTCTATTGGTACGTGCCACTAAACGTGGTCGATTCGATGTCCGTTATTATTACGATCATCTCGATCGTTTAGCAACGAGAAAGGATAATTATGGAAACGTGACTCAATTCTTTTATAATAATCAAAAACGTCCTCACGAAGTCAGTCAAATATACAGTCCACGTGATGGAAAGCTGATGTCTTTGGTTTATGATGATAGAGGCCATCTTATTTATGCACAAGTTTATCGACATAAATATTATATCGCCACTGATCAGTGTGGCACGCCTATAATGATCTTCAATCAATATGGCGAAGGTATAAGAGAAATCATGAGATCCCCATATGGACACATTGTGTATGATTCCAATCCCTATTTGTACTTACCTGTTGATTTTTGTGGCGGATTGTTGGATCAGGTGAATTATATTTCTATTTCTATAAATATATATATATATTTATTTATTTATTTATTTATTTATTTATTTATATATATAATATATATATAAATTTATATTTTATATTTTAAGATTATTTGTATATATTAACAATGAATATTAATATGATAATAAATTTGATAGGTAACGTCATTGGTTCACATGCCAAATGGAAAGGTTTATGATCCTCTTATAGGCCAATGGATGTCTTCCCTTTGGGAAAATGTCTTAGATAGGATAGATATACCAACCCATCTACATCTTTATAGATTTAACGGGAACGATCCAATCGATATCAGACATACAGATAGATCAAATCAACCCACAGGTAAAAGACATAAAAATCAGTTATATTATAGATCAAAGTACTCAGATATATCATATCTTTTTTCTACTTTTTTTCTAGATCACATATCATGGTTCACACATCTGGGATACGATCTAAAAAGTTTAGCACCTCAATTATTCCCTGACGAGCTTCCTGATAGTTTGGTACCACCGGCTCTCGGTCCAGGTACTTCCATATTTGGCAAGAAGAAAAGAACGAGAAATCTTGGTGTTCAATCAGGCTTTTTAGCCCACATTGCTCAAAGACATTCTGGTGATGCGATGAGCCTTTCAGCACCACCACGATCAGCTCTTAAAAAAGACACTAGTGAACTAATCCCAAATCGTTTAGGTGCTGCTTCAGATCCACCATTTGGTAAAGGAATCCTTGTTTCGAGAACAGCCGATGGACAGGCCGTAGTGTCGAGTGTGCCAACGGCAAACGCTATTTATGGAGACGTCTTCACCTCGGTGTTCAATCGTTCGTATTTCTTACCGTTCACGTTCGTCGTTCATAGTGCTCAACAAGATGCTTTTTACTTCGTCAAGGAAGAAACCTGGAGAGCCAGCGAGGATCGTGGTCAATTGAAACGTCTCGGTGGACAAGTAAATACTAGTTTCCACGAGAATGAAAATGGCAGTGGAAGTAACTCGCTGATCGACGTGAAGATACATGGTACTAGCTACGTCGTCAATTTACGATATGGCACGACAGCCGAGAAAGAAAAGCAACGACTCCTTCATCATGCAAAAGCAACTGCCATACGTAAGGCTTGGCACAGAGAACGAGAAGCACTTAAAGCTAATACTCCAACAACGAATGAATGGATGGTAGCCGAACAGGACGAGATATTGAAGGTTGGTGTAGCCTCAAATTACGAAGGTGAATATATACATGATGCTCAAATCTATCCAGAGTTAGCGGAGGATCCTTACAACATAAGATTCGTCAAAAAAGCTGTCGATACTTCAAGTAAGAAACGACGCAGAAGGAGAGGAGCACCATCTTGCAAGCTTTGGTGGTTGGATAAATTTTGCTAGATCGTCTGGGTCGACAAAAACAATATATGGCTCTCCTTCCACTGCCCTTCTTTTTAATGGGTTAATCACTGTCCAAAAAATTGATTGCTATGGTCTCTCTCTTTTGGTAGGCGTTACGCAAACGAATAAAAAGAAAGGCAAAATGAGAAAAGAAAAAGAGAGAGAAAGACGGAGAGATAAAGAATGAAGAAAGAAATTATAAAGAGAGTTACTAGAAAGATGAGAATTACTGTGACATATTATTCACAGTATTCTTTGATACACATACGTATAAAGAAAGAAAGAAAGAAAGAAAGAGAGAGAGAGAGAGAGAGAGAGAGAAGTAACAAAAAAAGAAAAACGTACTGAACACTATCAAAAAGTTTTATACCAAAGTCTATTTGTGTATTTCAAAGATGCCAAAAACACTAACGTTATATGATCTACCGCGATAGGGTGTAGTGTGTAAGGATTAAAAAAAAAGTATGCGTGGCGTGGATTACGGATTAATCTTGCCCACGGATAAGAGTACGCGACCGAACCGTGATTTGGCAGACGCGCGAAAGCCTTATAAGTAAATCGGTGCAAGAGCTTTCCATGAATAAGAAGAAGAAGATGAAGAAGAAAAGAAGAATCTCTCTTTCTCGAAAAGAGATTTGTGACTTTTGAAAGTCTAGTGTTCGAATTTGATGGACATAAATATTATGAATGAAATGAAAGAGAAAGAGAGAGAGAGAGAGAGAGAGAGAGATACGATGTTAAAAGAATGATTTTAATTCGGATATATAGGGTATTTCCAAAGGACGAAGAAGTCAGTATATAAAATGAATGTGGGCGCAGTGTAAACCTACGTGTAACAAGCGAAGACACAAATACCATCCGTTTTCTAAAATTTGTGAAACCAAGCGTATGTGTCACGTCATCGTTAAAGGGACGGAAAAAAAAAACAAAAAAAACAAAAAAAAACAAAAAAATGCAAGCGGGCCATTCGTCGTTGAGGCGAGTCGAGTGAGAGAAACTAGTCAATATATAGCTTTACATTGACGTATAAACTTTTCATTAGAGTAAGAACGAGAGAGAAAGAGAGAGAGAGAGAGAGAAAGAGAGAAAGAGAGAGAGAGAGAGAGAGAGAGAGAGAGTTGTAGTGAATATGCATGTGTGAGAGAGAAAGAGAGAGAATGCGATCCTTGCCGTATAATATGAAATTGTGTGTACCCACCTGCCCATTCGTATGCGAGCGATACTTCGTCGTCGTCGTACTTAGATAGAAAAAGAAGTTAAAGAAAAAAATGAAAAAGAAGTTGAAAAGAAAAGTGAATTACATAAAACGATAAAACGTGGATTGCAAGTGGATGCGAACCGAATGTGCACACATATCTCAACAATGAATGGCCTCGGAATTCGTAAGGAAGCTCGCGCGTTATTGTTCTAAGATGACTCCTATTTTTTTTATTTCTTATTTTTTTTTCATTCTTTCTTTTTTCGTTCATTGTCAGTATAATAAAAAAGGGGACACAAAAGTCGTTTCGTTCGTTTGATCGATCGATTTAAAAAAAAACAAAAAAAAAGGAGAAGAAGGGATTGACGTGTACGATTGATCGACTAAGCTCGAGTTCTACTTTGAAGCCTTAGAATGTATCGGCAAGAAGAAAGAGACGAGCGAATTTGTATTATAAAGTGGTGCTTTCTCCGGCGATGCAAAAAAAACAATAGAAAGAGAGCGAAAATCTTGTGCAGTGTTGAACGATGAGAAAGAGAGAGAGAGAGAGAGAGAGAGAGAGAGAGAGAGAGAGAGAGAAAGCGTATGATTGAGAGAGCATGAGAGTGAATGGAATATTGTATTATTATTAGGCTTAAACATATTTTTAAACATGGATGTGTCGTATCCTAGCACTTTAGCGTCCAACCTCCGTAAAAACGAACCTAGAAAAAAAGAAAAACAAAAAAAAGAAAGAAAACGAGAAATGATCTTCTTATATTACTGCCATCAGGAGGCTTAACGAACTATAACGACGATCGAACATATAAAACGTGTCTCGGGATAATCTACAGTACACTCTCTGTTTGTTAATCCCGTTTGCACGATATACACATTATAAATATATATATTTTAGGCGGGGTAAAGAAGGAAGCGTCGGGCGATCGAGCAAGCCGATGTCTCTCTCTCTGTTTAAGTCAAATATTGAAATTAAAAGAAAAAAAGTAAAGAAAGAGAGAACACAGAAAGAAAGAAAGAAAGAAAGAAGCAGACGAAGAAGACAAAGAAGATAAAGAAGAAAAAAAGAAGAAATGACTCATTATCGGTAAATAAAAAATAAAAAAATAAAAAAAAAAAATAAAAAAATATACATATACAATATTGCATATTTGTGCTTGCTGGATATGAATAACACGAACGTCAAACTATGTTTCTCTTCATTGATAAGTGTGTATCTAAATTAACGCGACCATCAACTCTCCCTCCTACTCCCTTTCTAATCCCGTCAGTACCGATCGTTTTCCTTGTATCGAACGTGTGTAAATTATTAATACGTTCTAAGAGCCATGCATAATTACTAAGGTAATTAGTTAGCATCACCGAATTTGCCCTCGCTATCCCCTTACCCCACCCATCCAAAATCCCCTTCACTCTCTGTTTCTTTCTCTCTCTCTCTCTCTCTCTCTCTCTCTCTCTCTCTCTCTTTCTCTCTCTTTCTCTCTCTTTCTTTCTTTCTCTCATACTAGCTCTATTTCCCTCTCATCGTTCTCTCAGTATCCTCCCAGAAACAACATCGTGAGAATCAGAGCGGATTTGTCCAATTCACGGCGTTACTTCATCATCCGCGTTTCTTCAAACACTTTTGAGAGCTAACCTGGTCGACGCAGCCAATGGATAAAGATAGTGGCACAACGACATTAATTATCTGGATAGATGAAGAAGAATTTACCTATGATACACTAAATGTATAAATAAAATGAAGAAAAAAAAACAATATGCATACATATACATACCTATATATAGAGGGAGGCTTTGTAATGTATTTTTGAGCCGAACGAACGTTTAAATGTACACGAACGAGAGAAAACTAAAAAGCTGCGGTTCAGTTCGCGAAGAACGATCGATCCTTTTTTTTTTTATATGTTTTCTTTGTAATAATAAGTAATAGAAAATGAAACAGAGTGTGAGAAAGAGGAAGAGAGAGAAAAAATTAAGAGATATTCATTCGAAGAAAAAATGATCCATCTTCTTATCTTAGATCGCCAAACTATAAATACTCATTAGAAATTCGTGAACATCTAAACGCTCGTTATTGTCATAATTCCCGTTCTCATCTCGAGCCGAACGCGTACCGCCATTCGGACCGCCAATGGCATTCGAAAGAATTGAATATTCTTTAAAATATCAAGCATTATATTATGTACATGGGCGTGAAGTTACATGAGGTCCTCTCGCTTATTTGAGAAAGACAGAGAGAGAGAGAGAGAGAGAGAGAGAGAGAGAGAGAGAGAGAGAGAGAGAGGGGAAAGAAAGAGAGAGAAAAAGAGATAGAGAGAGAGAGACGTAAGAAAGAAAAGAGAGAAAAAAAGAAGATGAAGAGAACATGACTCGCGTTACTTTGACGTAGTCTCTTAATAAATCAAGAAGAAGGAAGAAGAAGAAAGAAAAAAATAAAAAAAAACAAAATTCAAGAAAATTCAATCTCTAACTTCCGTAAAGTTTTATCTCATTTTGCAAATTTAGTTCGTCCCCCTCGTCGATCGTTCGGGGCACGCGATTATCCCACGTAATTCTTTAAATAAATATCAGATAGATTACGGAAAAATTACAATTAATATATATATATATATATATATATATATATATATATATATACACACACACGCGCGTGCGTGTATACATGTGTGTGTGTGTATACATATATATACATATACATATATATGTGTGTATATACATATATATATATATGTATATATATGTATATGTAGAAATATAAATATGTGAGAGAGGGAGAGAAAGAGAAAGGAAGAGAATGAAATGGTTAGATTATAAGTTGGTCCATGCGGTATAAAATATATAATATACTCGATTGACACGAAATGGCATCTCGGTGGATCGTGTGGTCAAGAAAATAAAAATTAGAATTAACAAATTGAAACAAGAGCGAAAATAGTAAGATGGAAATTGAACGAAACTAAAAACGAGAGAGAGAGAGAGAGAGAGAGAGAGAGAGAGAGAGAGAGAGAGCGAACGAGATAGAAAGAAAGAGAGAGAGCAAATGAATGAGAGTGAGAAGAGAGAGAAAAATATATATATATATTTATTATATGTATAATATATATGTATATATATATATATATATATATATATATATATATATATATATATAAATATATTAAGAAGCGAACGAAAGCACAAGTCAGCCACGCTGCAGCTACTACGACCACTACCCTAGGTAGATTAAACGCTACTTTGCCGCTGATCTAATTGTTTACTGTCACGTGTTGCTGTAAACCTAAACTAACGATACGATATATTTTATTTATATAATCTAATCGACTGTATTTATTGTAAATAGTCACGATGTTTGCTATGATATAATATATCTGTAATTGGATGGAATCTGCCTGAAACTGCGCCCAAGTCCTCTGTCCTTCACTATAAATTGAAAAAATAAGAGTAAAAAAGAAAAAAAGAAAAAAAGAAAATAAAAGAGAAAAGAAGAGAGGAATCTAAGGAAAAAGAATAAAAAAAATAAAAAAAATAAAAATAAAAGATTACGCCGTACCTCGTGCATGGAACACCGGCGATAAAATAAATAAATAATTATTAAATTAATTAATTAATTAATATAATCGGAAAGCCCCTGTTGTGCGTTTCGCGATGATTTAAATTCGCCGTTGTTGTATAACGCGTTTATAATTCCGAGCGAAAAGTTAAAAGTGAGAAGTGTAAAAGCGAGAAAGATGTCAATATTTCGTATCGTTATTACTCTATTGAGTGGACGATGTCGCGGAACGATCGATCGTGTACGATAACCGCCGTGTGCTCCATTTTTATCAAACTGCCTACCTTTTCTCCCTAACACTTACCCTAAACGTAAAAAGAAAAGAAAAGAAAAGAGAAAAAAATAAATAAAAAAGAGATATAACTATGCTAACAAATTCTCGTCCCTTTATCATAGGAGGGCAAAAACGAATGATAAATATACATACACATATATATACATATGTATATATGTGTATATATATATATATAAATAATTTTTATAAATGTATTTTTTCTTCTCCAGTCCCGATCCAGAATCACCCAGATTTTCCCCTTCGATATAAATAACAGATTATCGCGGTAGAAAAACGAAAAAAGAAAAGAAAAAAAAAGAAAGAGAAACACAAAAAATTCGTAACTCGAAATATATACTGCTCCGAGGCAGGAAGGAATGTCATGACCCTACCAGCATGTCCAATAACTTACACACACAATATTACTATCTTAAGTACAATATATTAAGTGTTTTCAGAAAATATATGATCTATATATGATAATAAAAAGGGAAAAAAACGTTTCATCACCGACTTGTCATTCACTTCTAATCACAGATTCTAATAGATATTCATCTTAGGTAATATGATATGTAACTATGTACATATAATCATTACTCGTTCAAAGGGTACATCTTAAATCTCTTGCGAGCAGCGAAAGCGAAGAACAAATTTGCGAACTGAAAATTTGAGATATGAGGACATCAAAGGAACAAATGATTATCCTGATAACGTACTACGTACTAGAGCTAGTGACATGAAAAGGACCGATATAGAAACCGTATGGACCGACGATTTGAGGAAATCAACGGCGCCATTTAAACAGCCAGACTCATACACTACTTCAGCGGTCATGTTCAAACACTGAAAAAATTACAGAGATTTCTAATAAATTTTAGAGAAGTTAATGATAAATCAAAGAAAATGTAAGTTTCAAACATATGTTATCCATTAATATCAATATTAATATATTTATTGTAGATAAATCATACTTTGTCGACAGTAGTTGAACAACAACTCTGTGGTATAAGCATACCATGTCTTTCCCAATCATCGTGCGATCGAATTCCACAGCATTTCAACTAGGATAAATTATTTTTTCTTAATTATTTATTTCAATCTTAAATTAATATCAAACTAACGTATCTGTGTGTATTATCCCAAGCCTCCGCAACCCAATCCAAATAACGATAATTTTCAATTGAATTAGCCATATCCTCGTGAATACTTCTCGTAAGTTTATCGAATAAAGAAAAACTCAAAATGGAGCAGACAAAGATCAAAAACAGGAATAGCGCATGGAATATTATGTACTGCAATATGAGGATTACATTTTTCTATGAATATTTTGTTAAGATTTTTTTTTTAGTTTTAATCAATCGTCGGATTAACATACGATTATCAAGAAATTTTGTTTTCTTTTGAGAAAACCTAATATGCCGATAATTGCTAGAATAGAAGCGAATATTCCTATTATGAGCAATGTTGTTATGTATATACGTTGTCCAATTAATCTAGACATCATTTTATTATCGGCCAGCATCCAAATTGAAATGATCACAGCGCTTATACCAGCAAGCTTCAAAAAGAGATTCATATTAATATTTACAATTGTAATTTTTTTTTTTTCAGAGGATCATTTTATAGAAACTTACAAAGGTAACACTGTTGAGACTCAAAAAAGAAAACTTGACACAATTTTTTGGAAGTCGTTTGTAAGATAATTTTAAAAAGGATAATGTCAAATCATGAGGAGTATCTTTTCCTGTTGAGGAAGATTCCTCGGTTTCTGTGATTTCTTCCTCAGCAGTGTCCGTCTCGGTATCATTGTCATTTGTGATATCTTGATGTCTCATCATAATCAAAATTCGACATTTGTTAAATTATTAATTTTTAAGTATTTTCTAGATTCAAATAACCTCGATCATCGTTGCCACATACTTACATGTATGTATTTGTGTTTATTAAAATTTCGAATCGTGCAAAAAACTGAAGTTGGCTATTTCACAAGTTTTCTTTCAAAACACAACGAAATTTATATTAATTATTTTTCTATAAAGTTTTCAAAAATAAGAAAGAACATTCATTTTCAAGCACGAAATAATATGAATAGGTGGTTCATTATTTAAACATTTAGTAGGAATTATTTATTATACGAAGTTTTATATTCTGCCTACGAGATTAATCTTTAACCAATAACATTAAATTTCATAACGGACTCGTTTTCGCGCCATTACCAATGATACGTGCAATACAGAGACCTATATGCCTTTAGATACTACAAATAACAATCATATTTAAAATCTTTTCAAAAAGAATCATTGAGAAAAAATTAATTTTTATTTAAATAGAAGTCAGTCGTCATTAAATTATGCAGAAATTTTCAAAAAATAATATAATTAAAATGACACGAATTTTTTGGTTATTAGTAACCATTATCGATGACGGCAATTGTATTTGATCATAAATGATCACTATTTGCAACGGAAATTTTCTATAATTATCGCTGACGAAAATTATGTTTTAGTTATCCGTAACTATTATAGGTAACAGGAATTTCGTTTTTATTAGAAATAATCAACAATGTATCTGCTAAAAATATATGATCGTTTCAATGTACAATAACATTATTTCTATCTGTTAATATTTGCATTTGATTTTGATCAATCTGTATGAAGATAAAAAATTTGTATTAGTTGTGTATTCAATAAAAGTAATTTTATAACCGACATTTTGAAAAAATTACTTACGATATACAATTAAAATTTCGTTATCAGCAAATCGAACTATAAGTATAAATAATATAAATATTTTGTATTTGTTGTAAATTACAATAATGTACAGAATTTATTAATCTCTTACTTTTGATTTTAGAATTTAGAATAATAGATTAGATAAAAATTTCGAATAAATTTGAAATTTATTCAAATATCTTTTTTATCAAATTTGTGATTGAATAAATGTATCTTAAAAAGAATAACCTTGAATTTTGGATAAGACGTGTCTGCCCATTTTATGTTATCCACGTGGTGTAATTATTAAAGTATTAAAATCTATTTGATATAATGTCTGTCTTGAATATAGATGCCTTTAATAAAAGAGCCACTGAAGCGGTAATTTTTTTTATCGATTTATTCGTAAAATATATATTTTGATTTCTCATGAATAATCTCGAAAAGATTTGAGGTTACCAGCTTTTTCATAAGCACATTTTTCTAGGAAGAGCAAATAGAAGTTTTGAAAAAGGAAATCGAATATTTGCGTGAAAGTATCACAAACCAAAATGTTCAAAAATGTGATATTTCGAAAGAAGAATATACGAATTTGCAGCAAGAAAATCTGAAATTAAAATATAGAATTAACATACTTAAAAAGGTATATTCTGTAGTTTTGTTGTTTTATATATTTTTTTTATTGAAATTATAACTTATCAATCAATCTTTTTAATACTTGTAGGCTATTGAAACAAAAAGATCTAAACCACAAACCCAAATAATGTCTGTTTTAACTGACACATCTGTTAGTAATGGCATTAGTATATTGGAAATATTATTTAATTTATTTCAAAATGCTATTGCTGCCGCTTACCCAAACTTGGTAGATCCACCAATAGTTATTGCAGTATCATCCAATGCTAAATTTGGAGATTATGAATTTAGCAGTTCTATGCAAATTGTTAGATTATTAAATACTAGTGGTGAGTATTTGAAATCAGTAGAACTTTTTGATATTAATGTATTATTAAATTACAAACATTACAGGTACTAAAACAAATCCAAGAGAAGTTGCAAATAATATTTTAGCAGAAGTGCAGTTATCTCCACTTATTGAAAAATTAGAAATTGCTGGTCCAGGTTATATAAATGTATTTTTAAAACGTGAATTTGCACAACAAGTGTTGAAGACAATTATAAAGGCAGGAACAGTATTTCCCCCATATATGGATAAGAAAAAAATAGTTGTAGATTTTTCAAGTCCTAATATTGCTAAAGAAATGCATGTTGGACATTTAAGATCTACAATTATCGGTGACAGTATTTGTAGATTACTAGAATATCTAGGTCATAATGTTTTAAGAATAAATCATGTAGGTGATTGGGGAACACAATTTGGTATGTTAATAGCTCATCTACAGGACAAATTTCCAGATTATTTAACTGTATCTCCACCAATTGCTGACCTTCAGGTATTTTGTTTTTATATGATATATGAAATTTTTTTCATTACTTTAATATTGCTTCTTTATACTAATATTTACTATTCTTATTTGTATTATTATAGAATTTTTACAAAGAATCAAAAACAAGATTTGACGCAGATGAAGAATTTAAGAAACGTGCATATAATTGTGTCGTTAAACTGCAGTCCTTCGATACTGACATAAGCAAAGCTTGGCGGTTAATTTGTGATATATCTAGAAAAGGTAACAATTTATTAAATACATATTTAATAATGATTAATGATGTTATTACAATTGTCTTTATTACAGAGTTTGAAAAATTATATGCTCGACTTGATATTAAGATCATAGAGAGAGGAGAATCATTTTACCAAAAGAAAATGGAAGAATTAGTAAGGGAATTAGAATCTCAAAACTTTTTAGAGGAAGACATGGGTCGTAAAATATTATGGGGAGAAGATCATAGTGGTATACCTTTCACAATCGTAAAATCAGATGGTGGTTTCACTTATGATACATCAGACATGGCTTGCATCAAACATCGTGTTCAAGATGAAAAAGCAGATTGGGTATATTTTAGATTATAATGAAATAGTTTACCTGTTACAAAAAGTATGTAAACATATGAACTATATAATTTTTCAGATAATATATGTAACAGATTCAGGGCAATCGGTACATTTTCAAACATTACTTAAATGTGCAAAGAGAGTGGGTATTCTTCCATTAAATGTTAGAGTAGACCATGTTGGATTTGGTGTAGTTCTTGGAGAAGACAAAAAGAAATTTAAAACACGATCTGGTGATACTGTTAAGTTATTAGATTTATTAGATGAAGGTAATTTTATAAGTACATCCTTTCATGTGAACATAATAATTTATGTTTAAAAATTTCTTTCAAATATATTAAAATGCAATCATTTACTTTTTTAAAAGGTGTAAATAGATCACTACAAAAACTTCAAGAAAAGGGGCGTGACAAAGAACTTACAGAAGAAGAACTTAAAGCAGCTCAAGAATCCATTGCTTATAGTTGCATTAAATATGCAGATTTATGTCATAATAGAAATCATGAATATGTATTTTCATTTGACAAAATGTTAGATGATAAGGGAAATTCTGCAGTATATTTGCTTTATGCACTTACCAGAATTCGTTCAATTGCTAGAAATGCTAATATTTCTCAAAAACAGTTAAAGGAAGTTGTAGAAGAAATTCCAATATCTCTAAACCATGAAAAGGAATGGAAGTTAGCTAAGGTTCTGCTAAAGTTTCCTGATATATTACTTAAAATAACTAAAGACTTGCACTTACATCAACTTTGTGAATATTGCTATGATATTTCTACTAGTTTTTCTGAATTTTACGATAATTGTTACTGTGTCGTAAAAAATCAAGCTGGTGAAATAATTGAAGTAAATATGAGTCGCATATTATTGACAGAAGCAACTGCTATTATAATGGAACAATGCTTTCTCATACTCGGTATTAAACCCCTTACGCGTATGTAATAAACGATGGTATTAAAAAATAAAAAAAAAAGCATATTTGTATTTTTCATATATGTCAAATACATAAAATCATTTATTATGCCAATTTATAATAATAAAATAACAATTGCTTTAATACAATGTACTGTGTTTTATTTCATTTCTTTTTTTGCATTATTTAAAAAAAAAAATATTAGAATATTAAAAAATCAATGACTAAATGTTATATATAGTCGAGAACAAAAATAAGTGGACAGATACTGGAAGTAGATAACGATAAAGTTTAATTGAATTAATATGACTGTTATATAGTCAAGTTTTATTTATTATGTATCCTTATAGTATATACATTATTCAGTAAAAAATTAACGTTTACATTTGTGTATAAAAAGTCACATTTAACGATATTATTGGCTATTTATCGAGAGATAAAAATAAGTGGATACATAAAACAATGCGAAATAAATAAAACAAATAATAAAATTAATATTTAATATTGCCGGCTTTTGCTTGAATTACTAATTTCCAACGTCTTGGAATACTTCGAATTAAATTTTCTATATAAATTTTATTAATATATTCAAATATTATTTGCAAACTTTAAAAAAATCCTCTTTATTAGTTCGTTGATCCAATGGAATTTTCTTTTGATTTTTGAAAAAATTTCATAGTTTTCCTGATTGTACGCTTGAGGTAGTTGTCTTATTAAAAGACAAATTCTTCCTCAAGACCCATTTTTACTGTTACCTCTTCTAAATTTGTATACAATATGCTAATATATTTATCCGCATTCATTATTCCATCAATATTTATCAATGTACCAACTCAAGGAAAAACACTTCCACACCATCAATGATCCACTGTCAAATTTAATCGTTGGCGTAATAAAATGCTCTCTTATACGCTTCCCTTCTTTTTCTTCAAACAATATGTTCTTTTTTTAGTTGTCGCAATTCAAATTTACTTTCATCATTCCATATTATATTTTTATAAAATGAAAGTGGCATATTTACATATTTTTTTGCAAAAGCTAAATACTTTTTCATATTATTTTTATTAATGTGTGGTTTACGTATAGCTTTATAACATTTTAATTCAGCTTGTACAATCTTCGTTTTATTATTTTTGTGGAAACGTTTAATCCTAACATATAACAATATATCTTAAAGCAATTATCGGATCTTGTTGTCATTTGCGAATAATTCGATGGTCTTCATGTACAGTGGTAGAGCGTTCCGCCCACGATCTTTTAAATTTTCTACAGTATTATTCTGTATGTATTTTTTATAAATTTTTTCCACTGTACTTTTTAATACTTTATACTTTTGTGCTATCACATGGAAACTTACTTTATTAAGGTCATTTATATATAAGATCATTTAATTGGAAACAATTATCGGCGAATTTGAATCGAAATTTCATGAGTTTTTGACATTCTGCAATCTTTTACAAATTACTTTACTTTCACAAAGTCTAAATTGATATTAATAAGTTTGTGTGAGATTATTGCATCTAAATATGATATGTGTCTAATGTTTTTATACACTTGTTGCCTTGCGAAAACATTTAAACTAACTGTCCCCTTATTTATATCTTGATAAATAACTAACAATATTGTTAAGTGTAGTTTCCTAGCACACAAATATAGATACAACTTTCAATTTTTTATTGAATAATGTATATACTATAAGAATACATAATAAATAAAATTTGAATATATAACAATCATATTAATTCGATTAAACTTTATCGTTATCTATTTCTAATATCTGTCCACTTTTTTTGTCCCCGACTGTATATTATCAATTAATTTTATTATTTGTGTAATATTAATTTTAGCGATTCTACACATCTCGCAAAAGAAGTATCTGATGAAATATGACATTAATGTAAAATAATGTAAAACGAAAGTGATTGGATATTGCTGAGTATAATAGTTGTACCCACGTGCTCGATGCAAGTCAGCAGAGTAATTGGATATTTAATTTACGATATAAATAATTACTAAAATTTACAATCAAAATGGCGACCCCGCTAACTATTAAGGTATTATATTTATTTTATTTTTATCACTTATATACGTACAATATAGGGAACAATATGAATTAACCTCAATGTCGGTAACATTAACAGATGTAATACATTTATACATATTAAGTAAAGATATTATTGTGTCATTAAATTATGATTTATGTAATTTTATTATAATATATTTAAATTTCTATGTGCAATAAAATAGAAAAATATGACTAATAGTGAAGTTTATTGCCAAAAGTAATTTTTAAATCGTCGTCTTTTATCTAGATTATTACATATTTATAAAAAATTTGATAATATCTTTAATATCTTTAAAATATTTTTGAAAAGCTTATAATCTTCTATAGCAAACAGCAGAAAGAAAGGGTACTTTTAAGGTTGAATACCTTCAAAAAATTGAAAAGGAAGTACAAGCAAAATGGTATACTGCAAAAGTTTATGAAGAAGATGCACCATTAGAACCTAAAAGTACATCAAATGATAAATTTTTGGCAACTTTTCCATTTCCTTATATGAATGGACGTCTTCATTTAGGACATACATTTTCTTTGTCAAAATGTGAAGTAAGAATTCTCTAATTATTATTTTACAATTTAAAAGATATCCTTATACTATAATTTGTAACCTCAATATAATATTTTCATATCTTTTAGTTTGCAATACGTTTTAATCGTTTGTTAGGAAAAAAGGTTCTTTTTCCATTTGGCTTTCACTGTACTGGTATGCCAATTAAAGCATGTGCAGATAAATTAAAAAGAGAAATGGAATTATATGGCTATCCACCACAATTTCCAGAAGAAAGTATTATAATTAAAGAAAAAGTAGATGATGTAGTTATAAAAGATAAAAGCAAAGGGAAAAAGGCAAGAAATTTTTACTAATGACATAACATATTATATAAATAAATAACTATATTTAATATTTATAATGTTTTTAGAGTAAGGCAGTTGCCAAAGCTGGAACTGCAAAATATCAATGGCAAATTATGCAAACTCTTGGACTAGATCACGAAGAAATAAAAAAATTTGCAGATGCTGCATATTGGTTAGATTATTTTTCACCTCGTGCCGTAGAAGATCTCAAGGCAATTGGATTACATGTATGTTGAAAAATGCAATATTCATAATATACAAGATATGTTTTGGATATAATAAGCTTTTTTAAATTATATTACTTTTAGATTGATTGGCGTCGTACATTTATTACAACTGATGCTAATCCCTTTTTTGACTCATTTGTAAAGTGGCAATTTGAACATCTAAAACGTAGAAATAAAATAAAATATGGAAAAAGATATACAATTTATTCTCCAAGAGATGGTCAACCATGCATGGACCATGATAGATCTTCTGGTGAAGGTGTTGGACCACAAGAATATACATTGATAAAATTAAAAATTCAAGAGCCTTATCCAAAATCTCTTGAGTAAAGAATTTTTGCATTATATATATATATACATACTTTTTTTTTTTAACAAAAGTATTATTTACATTTTTTATTGTAGATCACTTTCTGGAAAACCCGTTTATCTAGTAGCAGCAACCTTAAGACCAGAAACTATGTATGGTCAAACTAATTGCTGGGCACATCCAGATATGAATTACATTGCATATAATTTAAAGAGTGGTGAAGTGTTCATATCGACTGAAAGAGCAGCTCGAAATATGTCTTATCAAGGCTTTTTTGAGGAAGAAGGAAAAATACAAATTCTCTTAAAATTAACTGGACAGGTAAGTTCTAAATATCATTTTAGAAATATATTGTAACATTTTTATTTATATTTCTATCATTTATATTACTAGGATATCTTAGGAGTAGCAGTAGAAGCATCTCTTACATCTTATAAAACAATTTATACATTACCCATGTTAACGATCAAAGAAGATAAAGGAACAGGAATAGTAACTTCAGTGCCTAGTGATTCTCCGGATGATTATGCTGCTTTAGTAGATTTAAAAAAGAAACAACCATTCAGAGAAAAATATGGAATCAAGGATGAAATGGTGCTGCCTTATGATCCTGTAAGTTAAACATTTATATTTAATCTAAATTAGATGTAATATAAATACTTACATTTCTGATCACTAGATACCGATTCTCGAAATCCCAGAATTTGGCAACTTATCTGCAGTGACTCTATATGATAAATTAAAAATACAATCACAAAATGATAAAATTAAATTACTAGAAGCTAAGGAAATGGTATATCTCAAAGGTTTCTATGATGGTGTATTGTTAGTTGGTGAATATAAGGGAAAGAAAATCCAGGATGTTAAAAAGCAGATTCAGCAAGTATTAGTTAATGACGGTAGTGCTGTCATTTATTATGAACCTGAAAAAACGATTATTTCAAGATCAAACGACGAATGTGTAGTCGCTTTGTGCGATCAATGGTATTTAGATTATGGTGAAGAAAATTGGAAAAAGGAAACACTGGAAGCTTTGAAAAATCTAAATGTCTTTCATGACGAAGTTAGAAAAAATTTTATAGCTTGTCTAGATTGGCTTCATGAGTATGCATGTTCTAGGACTTATGGTCTTGGTAAGTAAAATCTGGATTCATAATCATGTATTATTGAGAAAAATTTTAATTATATATTAAATATTTTAGGAACTAAATTACCATGGGACGAAAATTGGTTGATAGAATCTCTCTCTGATTCAACTATTTATATGGCATATTATACAGTAGCTCATTTATTACAAGGGGAAACATTTAAAGGAGAAAAACCAAATGTGCTAGGGATAAAGTATACATCGTAATTTATATTTATTTACATCAATATTAAATTATTTCTTATTTTACATAAGTAATTATATTTAGGGCTAATCAAATGACATCAGAAGTCTGGGATTATATCTTCTTTAATGATGCAAAATTACCTGAAACGAGTATTAAAAAAGAAGCATTAGATCGAATGCGAAGAGAATTTAATTACTGGTATCCTGTTGATCTAAGAGTTTCAGGAAAAGATTTAGTACAAAATCACCTTACTTTCTTTCTTTATAATCACACCGCAATATGGCCTAAACAACCAGAATTATGGCCTCAAGGAATACGAGTAAATGGTCATTTATTATTAAATTCATCTAAGGTAATACAAATTTTTAATAAAATAGGATATTTTTCTTGAATATACAAATCAACAGTGATTATATTTTTCAGATGTCAAAATCAGAAGGAAATTTCCTAACACTTGCAGAGGCTGTCGAGAAGTATTCAGCAGACGGAATGAGATTATGTTTGGCTGATTCTGGAGATTCAGTGGAAGATGCTAATTTTGTAGAAAGTACAGCTGATGCAGGAATACTTAGATTATACACATTTATTGAATGGGTCAAGGAAGTAATGGCTTCAAAAAATCTATACAGACATGATCAACCAAATACATTCAATGATAAAGTCTTTGAAAGGTATGTCTTGAATTTTGATTAATACATTCATATACATAAAATATAACATAGGTATTTTTTAATAGTGAAATGAGTCTAAAGATACAAGAAACAAATGAAAATTATTCGAAAATGCTTTATAAAGAAGCATTGAGAACTGGCTTTTTTGAACTGCAAGCTGCCAGAGATAAGTACTTACAATTAAGTATATTAGATGGTATTAATTGGAATCTTATTATTAAATACATAGAACTGCAAATTATTATGTTATCTCCAATATGTCCTCATATATCAGAACATGTATGGACTCTTATTGGTAAAGTAAGGATTATTAAAAGTATATGTAAGAATATAAATAATATCTATCGATATTTTATTTTATTAATATAAAAAAAAATTTATTTTATATTAGGAAGGTAGCATACTAGACAGTCGATGGCCAATAGCCGGTAATGTCGATTTAGTTCTTATAAAATCTTCACAGTACTTAATGGATGCTGCCCATTCATTTAGAATTCTTTTAAAGAATTATCTAATACCAAAAAAAGTTTCAAAAGGTGTAAATGCTGTGCCTCCAGAAAAGCCTAATCAAGGAATTATTTGGGTAGCCAAAACTTATCCTCCTTGGCAAAATATTGTACTCGAAACTATGAAAGAAATGTATATGGTAAATAATTGAAATATTTAAATATAATTTATATAATTTTTTATATAATTTATTTAAAAACTCCATTTATTTTTAATATTTCTGTAGAAAAATGGAAATAAACTACCAGAAAATAAAGCAATTGCTACAGAATTAGGAAACATAACTGATTTAAAAAAATATATGAAAAGAGTAATGCCATTCGTGCAAGCTTCAAAGGAAAAGGTAGAATCTGCTGGTATAAGTGCTCTCAATCTAACTTTTGATTTCAATGAGTATGATGTTCTTGAAAGAAATAAAAAGTATCTTCAAAACACTTTAGAGGTAATTTTTCAATTATATATATAATTCTTTTTATTTATTTTATTTATTAAAAATATAATTTTATTATTTTTATATTTTATTTTTATATATTGTATTTAAGAGATTCATTTTAAATATTTTAGCTGAATGAAATTATTATAAAGTATACCGATGAAGCTCCTGAAAAAACAAAAGAAGAATGCTGTCCTGGTTCTCCTTACATAAATTTTGTTGTAAAACCTTCAATCTTATTATCTCTTATGAATCCACAGAAATATGTTGGTTTATTTACCATTAATTTAAAAATTTATGAAAATGACACAGTTTCTAATTTAATAAAACTTATTTTACAAGAGCATAAACATATAAAAGGTTTGCAATATTAATCAAAACTTTTTTAATAGAAATAATGTATTTTTTATTAATAACTTATTTTACAAATATAATTTCTTTTTCTCTCAGATACAGCTTCAGTTCAATTATATCGTTATGATGATCCAAATATGGGACCACGTTTGAAACCAAATATTGATAATATTTTAGAAGGAAAAACATTAATTCCAAGTAATGCTTTATTTATTATTAATGTAGAAAAACAATCTGCAGAAATTAAAGTTGGAGATAATGCATATTCTATTGGAAATGAATTAATATATATTGTAAAACATGCAGAAGATAAATAAATGAATCGATTATTTAATGGAAAAGGTTTCTGTAATATAACTAAGCAAAAAGAATATGACGATGAAAAATAACAGTATTGAATAAAAATTTTTTAAATAAATAAAATTTTCTTTTTAATTTTCTGCACAAATTTATTACAAATATTTATATATTCATATTACAATATTATTATTATGCTTAAATGTATTCTTTGGTACATTATTATATAAATATTTTGTATATTCCTAGAAAAATCTATAAGGCCATATTACAAATTTTGTATTATATACAATAATCGATATTACATATATATATTTATAAATTTAATCATTAAATCAAAATAGTTTCAATATACACTTTAAAAAATCATCAATTACTTGTTATAAATATCCAATTTACTAAATTATTGTCTTAAAGGCACTTGGCAGTAACAGAGATATATCTATTTATCTAGTTTTTTATATATTTATCAAAATATTTATCTTTTAAAATATTCTCTTTCAGATTTCCTGTTTGTAGTATATACCCTCTTATTATTAAGTTATAATAGAAATAAAGGAATAAAAAAAAAATGTAATCTAAAAAAAAACTTCATGAAGAAGCAGTAGAATTTTTGGTTTTCAGCCAAGTTTGTACTTCTGTGCGTATTTTCTTTATATCTGTAGCCTCTGTTCTACAGCATCCACCAATATATCTTACACCAAAATTCAACCATTCATGAATAAATTGACACAAAGGATAGTACTCTTTCTCTTTCTTCCATCCTTCTGCTATTGTATATTTTTCTCCACTATTGGGATATACTACCAATGGTACAAAATTTGTAGAATTTTCTTTATTGATACCTTTCAATAAAGAAGTGACATATTGTGGAGCAATACAATTAACGCCAATACCAATTAATTGACCAGGCTGAGCTTCTTTATAACATTGCATAGCTATTTCTTGGAAGTCTGTACCATCTGCTAAAGTTTTACCATTGGGACAAGAAAAGCATAACCATGCTTTTGCATTTGGAAATTCTTTCAATAATTCAATTAATGCTTTAGCTTCTTCTTTACAAGGTATAGTTTCTAATGCCAATAAATCTACACCAGCATCTAATAAAATTGAGATACGTGATCTGTGCCAATCTTTCATTATTTCTGAAGATATACGAGTTCCATAATGACCAGTGTACTCTGAAGCATCATGTAATGCAGCACCATATGGTCCACAGGATCCAGCAATTAATGGTTTAGGATTGGGAATGTTTGGATCATTTTTTACTTCTTTAAGATAAGTTTCCACAGCATTTTTAGCACACTCAACAGCTTTGTAAATTAATTTAGTACTTTCATCTTTAGTAACTCCCAAGTATTTCATGAATCCATCGATCGTGGCTTGATAAGTATTTGTTTCTATTATATTGGAACCGACTCTTAAAAAATCCAAGTGCGTTTTATAAACAGCCTCCGGATTTGTAGCTAGAAAACGTGCTGTCCATAATGGATCACCATCGATTCTGTCACCCACGTGTAACGCTAATTGTGTCGAGATACCACCATCTAATATTTTTATATCGCACATCGTATCAGTAATACTTTACAAAGAACGACCTTACAGAAACGCAGTTCAAAATAGGAATGGACTTGAGAACGGCGGGGAAAAATTTTTGTATTTTTATATTAACGAATCAGTGTTGCCAAATGCGTAAATCTCACGATTTTATACATGGACAAATTCTCTTTAAATTTAATTACGATTGTGTTAATTATAAAGATTTTAATGTTTAAAAAGAAATGCGATTAAAAGAAAGCATGATACAAATAATGTAAATATTTCCATTTCATAAATATTATAAATTTAGTATAAATTTACACAAAGTTGTTTCAAAGTCGAAATATAATAGAAAATTTGAAATTTAAAAATAATATAGGGAATGCATATCTGCTGAAATAACATATAACTGATTGAAATTAATATATTATTACGAAATAAAATGATTTTTTTTTAATGAAGAATTATACAACAGAATTACATCGGTTTAAAGTAGGAACTTTCGAAATTGGTTAGACTGTATGAAATGTAATCAGTGTGACTTGTTGATTTTGCAGATAACAATGCTTAATGAGTTGACTAATTTGACATGTTTGTCAATATAAAGCAATAATGTTCTCTATCTCTTTGATAAATTTATCTTAACTTTTTTGATAGCCTTGTTAACTTTCTTTTCATGCTTTTTATATAATTAATATAACAAAAACTTAATGATTTAAAGAATTCTAATAATTAAGAAAAGATACGTGTTCCTATTATTTGCATCATTAGTAATATAATGTAGATGGTTCTGAATGAACAACTCTGCAATAAGACAAATATAATTATAAGGAAAATCTAAAATATATATAAATTTATTTAAAAGTAACTTTTATTAATTTAAAATAAAAGATAAATACATTCATTTGAATTGTGGCAAATCAATTTAAGTTAACTGTTATTTAGTTAGTAATACAGATCGTAATATTTATTTTTTAAACTTTGATTGTGCATCACAAGTACTTTTTATAAACAAAATAGTACGTTCTATTAATAATCGTACCTCCTTCTTAAAGAATTCCAAGACTTTTTTCTACTACTGCGTGCGGTTGTCCCATTTGTTCTCTGAATTCAGGTGTATTTAATATATCCTCAAATCTAATTAAAAATATTATAAATTTTCAATTGTAATAATTGTCCATTTAAATATCAGATTGAGAAAGAAAGATAATAAATTACCCAATTTCTTCATCTCTTCCAAGAATAACATCTCTCATAATATTTGATGATGGCAAAAAAGAGAGTCTACCAACTTTCTCAGCAGCTTTTAATTCCATTGCAAGACGCAATGGAGCATGTAATCCTTGAGCATTACGTAATAAGACCATATTCATGGATTCTTGATTTTTCTTATGCTAAAAGCAATCAAATTATACTACCTGTATATTGTTTATAATAATATAAAATTGTACACATTATCATAATGAATTATATGTAGTAAAATAAATTATACTTACATTTAATTCCGAAGCTTCTAAAGGGTGCGAATAACCAATTTTTTGCCTTGTTCCTGCCAATCTGTATAACCAAAATATTTAATATAATCAATTCTTGATTAATTAATTGGAATAAACAAATTTCAAGAAATTTTATTAAAATAGTATTTACCCAGAAACCATAGGATTTGGAATGCCATATGTATCATCTTTAAGATTAAATTGGTCAGCCACTGTAGGCTTAGGTATTAACGATGGTAATCCAAAACTCTGTAATACGTTAAAGTAATGTTTATATTACATCTAATCAATACTTTCTAATGCATTTTCAATAGATATTTTTATTAGGAATTTTTTATGACTTATAATTTCACTTTTTTTGAATCAATTAAAATATATCTGTTCTATTAGAAATAATAAATAAGAAAAAAGCAAATGTAGTTGTCATAATTAATATAACCTAAGAATAGTGTAACAATGAATTTATGAAGATTTATGATATTAATAATTATTTTTGATAATTTGATAATTTTACGCTTATACGTAGTATTTATAATATTATATTTTTACCATATTTTCATTTACGAATGAATACTTTATATTTTATACTATTAAAACTGAAAGTCACTTTACGAAGTAACTTCACACACGCAATGTATGCAGAAAAATACTCATGACCAGAATTATCATCGTTATTGGACTACGTTGTACCTAGATGTTTCAACCAATCATTGTAGAGATAGAAAGGAACTACAATACGTATTGGATAAGAAATATTAAACATGTAGCGAAATTTTCAAATTTTTATTTGAAACTATTAAATAATTGTTAGAAACATAATATGAAATTTTTAAACAGTAAAATATTTTCTTATCATTTTAATTTGTCTTTTGAAATCATGATTAGTATCTATGTTGACGTTATTATATTAAATGGCGCCAAAGAAAGCAGGATAAAATCGATTTATTGATATAACAAAATGAACTTTCATTTAGAAAAATATAATGAGTACACACATATCTATTTATATTAATATTTTTAATAATATTACTATATTCAAAATAGTATTGCTTTAAATAACTTTCGAAAGGATGTCTGCATATTTAAAGAAATTATCTCTGAAAAAATCGTTCAGTGCGATTTTAACAAAAAGATCGTTACTCCGTATCAGGGTAGGTTAAAAAATGAAAAATGAAGATTTCGGGATCGAAAGATCATTCGCAAATCTTATAAGATTATTATTAACATGTTATACATATTTTATTAGACCAATAAGTTAAAGGGCCGTAACTTGTTTCGTGCCGCAGTGAGATTAGTTCTCGAATTTATAGAATGGTTAACCGAGGAACCTGTGATTGAAGAAATTATCGACGACATAACAATGAAGATTAAATTGACTGAAAAATTGATTCACAAAAAAGTTGAAAAAAAAGCATTGACCTTGGAGGTTCGTGAAAAAAAAAGAAAAAGATTAATAAAACAATACTCTCATAATCATTTCGAATAACTTTAAAACATTTTCATATTTCTTTTTTTTTTCCTTTTTTTTTACTTTTTTAAATATTTTTCAATCAAAGGATCGTTCTATCTTGCTAATAAATCCAATTGAGAGATCATTGTCCGAGAAGACTTATATTTATGAATTATTCAAAAGATTACGAATATTTCGAAAATATCCGGAGGAACATAGAGAATTGTTGGCGACTGTATGCTTTTATCAGTATGTACCACGAGACCGTGTAATCGTTCGTCAAGGTCACAAGGCTTTAAATCTTTACTTTATCATTGACGGGGAGGTCAACCTGACGAGGGTCGTTACCGATGATCTTACCGGTATAACTTTTTCTAAATTTTTTTTTTTTTTTTTTTTAATCATATTATCATGAAAGTCATTATTATCATTAATAATTTTTTAATTAATAGGCGATACCAAGGAAATTGATATGGGTTCTATGCATCAGGGAGACATATTTGGTGAAATTGCTTTGTTACATATGATACCAAGAACAGCTACCATAGTCACTAAAAGTAAACAATCTGAATCATAACAATTTTATTAACTGTAATTGATTATATTCTTTTTTCCAGCCTCGGTAGATTTAATACTTATCAGTCTCGACGATTTCAATGAAATATTAAAAGATAATTTGATGAATGAATGGAATGTTTTGCAAGACGCTCTAATTAACTTCAATTACTTTAAATCTTGGGACGAAGAAACTATACGAGAATGTTGCATTTTGAGCAAGCTAAAACATTTCCAAGCCAACGAGGTTATTATATAAGAATTGTATCACTAACATTCGTTTAGCTATTGTATATTTTCTAAGAATTAATTAATCTAAGAATCTTCAATTGCCAAGGTATTGTTAGGTGACGGAAAAGGCATGGTCAATTATGTACATTTTTTATTGGAAGGTGAATGTCGTCTGATAGAACACATACTCGTTAAAAAGAAACCCACTACCCAAGAAATGCGATACGAATTATACGATTCGAAAACTATATCGGAATTAAAACCAAATGAGAGAAGTATTGTCACCGGTGAAACTACTAAACAAAAAAAATCAAAAATCGATAATAAAGTGGTAGAAATTTTTGATTAATAGCAATAGTTCTTTTTTTGTTCTTTTTGTTTTTTTTTTCTTTATATTATTTATCCCGGAAATATACGTCTGTTTTGAATTTTTTCTTTAATTAACGATGTACTAATTATATAGGACGATGATCGGATCGAAGTAGACACTGACATAAGTGGTACGATCATAGACTATAGTCAAATTATGTTATCCAAAAAACCAGATTACAATGTTGATCTGGAACGTATGAGTATCATAACAGCCACGCTTCTAGATGTTGTAAGTGAATACAATATAATTGAAGAGTATACGAATGGAATTATTAATATCAATAAACAAAGGTGAATGAATGGCACGAGATAACGGACGTTGCGGAAATATTGATGCGAGAACCATCGGTTATATTGCGAAGTTATCCGAAAGACGTTCATACGATATTTATGCAAGTGTGCATGTTTTATAGGGGTGCCTGTTTTGGAATAGGTTGGAGAAATAAATTTTACGCTCGTATTATTATCGAGCTTTCATAATTGAATAATAAAACTTTCGTTTATCAGGTGAAAATATGTATAATCGAAGAATCGTATCCGTAACTCCTGTACGATGTTTCCTTATTCCACGATATTGGCTAATGGAACATAATCAAGCAAACATTTGGCACAGAGTTAAATTATTTATGGATTCGAAATTTTTAAGCAGAGAAGAATTGTTTAAAGAGTTCGTCAAAAATAGAAAGTAAAATCAATTGTTAATTTTATATCCATTGCTCGTACATATATTTAATGAACGATAATATTTTTAGATGGATACAGTATAAAAGGAAATTAGTCAATGACATCATTAAAAAAGGTCGACGTTCTCGTAATTGTGCAACTATATACGATGTACCGTATTCTATTAGAATCACGGAAGAAATAGATCCGAAGTTATAATTTGTACATACAAAAATTATGACTGGATGTAACAACTGACACAATATGTGAATGTTTTACGTTTATTTTATTTTTAATTTATATTTCTTTATATTTTATATTAAAATGAAATTTTTATTTTCAATACATTCATAAAGTTCTATAAGATATAAAATTTACATAAATTTGTTCGAGGCAACGATAACTGTAGTATCTTCATTCCTTCTAGAAATTATATTTAATAATATAGACGTATTAAAATATAAAGATCATATCATACGTCATACACACATACGCACATCTATCTTGTACTTATTAAGTTTGACTTTATAATTAGTTAATTATATATTTGTCCTCTGGTCGAATTATTCAGCTTACATATTAATAGTGTTATATATATATGACACATACATACATATATGTATATATATATATATATATATATATATATATATATATATATAAATATAAATATAAATATGACATATATATAAATATGACATATATGTATATGATAGTACCATTTCTGCAACACGAATATTATACATATTACGAGTATTAAGTACTGACAAATACTACTATTACTATATCATTTGTGTTACAAAATTCGGTTTCTCTCAACATATATTCTCAGATATTATTCTCCACTAAAGTTATACATACGGGAAGTATTAAAATATCTCTCCAGTTTATAAGTAGTAAATATATTAAATTATACAGTCAATTGCAGTTTCTCATTAGAGAAGCACACATATTATACTCGCGCAGAATATTCACTAGTCGTAAGATACATACATTTTATCAATCAGCAATATTGTTGAATCATAAAATAATATATATATATATATATATATATATATATATATTATATAGACATTTTAATCAACGATTTTATATATTATCGTTTAAATTGGAACTATTTCATTTATAAAAAAAAAAGGGAAATGAAAAGATCGTCCAATACAATGTAGTGTTTCGAAAATGTTTTAAGATTCATTTTGTAAGAAAATATAATTATTAAACAAAAATTTTCATGCACGTATCTTAGGAACATTGAATTTTTGTACTTAAACGCGAGTACGATAAAACTTTAATGACAATGATACGTATGATGAAATGATCACTAAAATCTAATTTTTATCCTATGTTAAAAACGTTTCTTAGAAAAATATCGTAATTTCTTTAAACGCATAATTCGATATAAATGTTCATGAAAAATGTATAAAAAAATATAAGTAACAACACGATGACATCATGCAACATAAATTTGCATTCTCGTAATCGATTTTCTAATAAAATTACTATGCCTTGGTTGGTCCTTGAACTAATCAATTATCACTTTAATAAATCTCCAAACAACGAGATCAATTCTAATTCACGCTACTGACTGATTGAGTTCATTCCCCATCATGACGTAGCTGGGATTGCTAAAGCTATCAGGTATGTCCCTTTTTAAATCATTCTTCTGCTTAGGCATATCCCTTTTTAAATCATTCTTTTGCTTAGGCATGTCCACATAATTGTTTTCGGTTCTTATAATGGACGGAGTGTATTCTTTTTTCTTTGGAATGGAGTCCGTCCGATCCTCATTCTGTTCCTCCTCCTCTTCTTGATCCGTTTCCCTTGATTTTTCGTTTAGATCTATTAAATGAAGATTACGTGGAGTGTTACAATAACCAGAATTTCTTTCGTTGATTCGATCGATCGATTGAGCACTCGCGGCTTGTCGTTGCCGAGCAAACTCTGCTCTACGTTCATGCACATTTATCGGTTTCAAATAAGGATCCTCTACTTTTTTCAACATCGGTGATAATTCAACTGCGTCATCAAAATCAGATCTCACAGAAGGATATTCGAAACGAGATTTTTCTGTATTCGGCTTGGGACTAAAGATACCCGATTCGTCTTCATAACTCGTTGGACTCATACACACATATGATGTCTCGGGTGCATTTTCCGAGATAGGAGAGTTTACATAATCACCCACAGGTAATGATAGAATTGCATGATCAGGTGCTGACATCATCGTAAGATAATCGTTTTTGCCATCCAAAATCATCGTGTTCATATCCATATATGGTGTGTTCAGAGTTATGTAGTGCTAAAAATCATGAAAAACAGAGAAAAACAATTTTTATTACATTAGATCGTATTTTCTTGATAAACATTTAATTAAATTATTTATCATTGATAATCAAATCGGTTGACAGTAACTTACCGTTTTTACACTTTCTTCTAATAAATCGCCTATGTTGTTCACTAATTCTGTGAAACTTGGACGTAAAGTTGGCTTAGCTTTCCAGCATTGCAACATTATATTGTATCTATAAAGTGAGTATTAGAGTGAAAGATAAATTTTCTTGAAATTTGACAGGATGTAACGATTGTTTAATTATATATATTATACTTCGAACATATAAAACGTGTATATATACTTACACTTCTGAAGTGGCATATGGTGGCTGTTCCATTCTGTAACCTTCTATAAGTTTCTGATACTGTTTTTCAGCTTCCATACCTGGATACGGAGTTTCAGCTAAGGTAAAAAATTCCCAAAGGACTATTCCAAAAGACCATATATCTGATTGCGTTGAAAACACCCGATCTCTTATTGATTCGATGGCCATCCATTTTATAGGCAATGGTCCATCACCTTTTTTTTTATAATTGCCATCTTTGTACATAGTCTTTGCCAGTCCAAAATCGCAGATCTTTACTACGTTATTCTCAGCAAGTAATATATTTCTCGCTGCTAAATCACCGTGCAGAACCTAATGTCATATTCGATAAATTCTAATCAACTTAATCAAAATTATAAAAAAATGTAAATATACAATAAATATTATAAAGTGTATTATAATAAGTACCAACATATATACTAACGTTTTTTGCAACTCATAATTGACACAAGTTCTGACTACTTACTCTTCTCTGACTAAGATAATCCATACCGCGAGCCACTTGAAACGCCCAAGATAAAAGATCTTGAGTACAAATCGGTTTCAGATTGTGATCCTTATAGTCACCACGATAATTAGATCTCCAACCAAGCTGAGACGAGTTATTGCTAAGCATACAGCTATCCGGGGACATACTTGCACCTTGAGAGTCCGTGGTATTATGAGCATAATACTGTACCGTCTCGGTGTCGGAATTCGCACTGATACTGCGAGAAAAGGACAATGCCGCATATTTTATCCTATCGCACGGGCAGAAGAAAAAAAGAAGAGTCGTTAAACCGCAGCCCCTAGCATGCATCTTCATCATTCTCATGTTATTGTTGGTATTAACGATTAAAGCAAAAGATTATTATTATTTACGGAACTTTAGAATAACAGTTATCATTATTTAATTTGTAATAACAATTATTAGTTAGGAGATTAACAATTATTACTACAACATTCATTAGAAGGTTAATGATACTGGTAACACTTAAAATATTCTATGTATATTGTTAAACAAGCAATACTTATATATTTGTAATTTTATCCGAAAAATGGGTCTAAGAATTTTTATAAAATAAAGTAAATCTATTGTTTTTTGATGAAAGTGATTTATCAAAAAACGTAAAATCTCGATTTTGAGAAAATTAGGGAAATAATCATTATTAATATAAAAGCTAATCGAAATGAAATCATGTGTAATTGTTGTTTAGCCGACGAAAAGTTTAAATTACTTAACATGTAAAAATATTAGTTATAAAATAGGCTACAAGGCTTTAAACGAATGAAAGAGGAAGAAAAGGTAGATTTATAACTGATGTGATGTATGGTGCGAGAGAGAGAGAGAGAGAGAGAGAGAGAGAGAGAGAGAGAGAGAGAGAGAGAGAGAGAGAGAGAGAGAGAGAGAGAGAGAGAGAGAGAGAGAGAGAGAGACGAAATTGTGAAGTAAGTTATATTAGAAATTCATTGATTGAGTGATTTGTGATGTGTGATTTATGATTCGTGATTTGTAATTTGTGATCTATTTTCCGCAAAATCTAATTAATCATTAAAATTGTAAGTCCATTTTCCGCAAAGTCTAATTAATCATTAAAATCACAAAACTTATTCAACTACAAGAAAGATGCCAGGTAGGCGCCTTATGAAACATGAAGATTTAAATATAGAACGCGGCACCGTTAGAATAAGAATAAGCATAAAATGCTGCATGTTGTCTATTATCAAGTCGAGGCAAAGCAGTTTGAAAATCCTACTACCACCAGAGAATCATGTTACTTCTGTAATGTTATACGGAAAGAAGTGTTGAACACAATAGAAATTAACTTGAATATAATGCCTATGGAGAAATGAAAAATTCGACTATAAAGAAAGCAGTGTTAGTTGGCCGAATAGTTATAGAAAAAATTTTTATACGCTCATCCTCCTTTACCGAACGAGCAATGAATAGTTTTCTAGATATTTTATCACTAAATGAATTATAACTTAATAAATGACAGCATGAATAGATGCAATTAATATAGTATACATAGAGACATAAAACATATATTAGAAAAATAGTAAGATCTTGAGGGTAAGAAAAGAAAATATATTAGATAAAAACAAACCTATTGTTGCTGTTCACACTGGCCGTTCTTGTGAGGAGATCAATACCTATCGTAGGGTCAAATTTACCAGTAGCAGGATCGATCTGATTGATAAAGTCGATTCTGTGTCTCAACAAATAATTGTGTAAATTACCAAACCGGCAGTACTCAACGATGACCAATAATTCGCCTACGACAAACAATGAACCAAATAGGATACTTCGTTTCAATTTCAATTAATTCTTCATATAGAACGAAAGATATCAATAACACATACGTTTCGAAATATTTTTCGTACAAGCACCCAAAAGATTGACGACGTTTAAATGTTTACCAAGATGTACCATGATCTTCAATTCGCTCGCAAGTGCTCGAACGTAAGTTGGATCGGTTGTACGTCGTACCATTTTTACAGCAACTGTTGTTATAGCTTCGTCTTCGTAAATTCCTAGAGCTTCAGCTTTCATAACCACCCCGAATGCTCCACTACCCAATTGTTTTCCTAAATTAGTGTTACACAAGCATTAGTTAATATCCAAATGTTTCAATTTATGAGTCACCGTCCAATATTGGATCGCATTAAATTTTTAATGGGCTACGAA